GAAGTTAGCTGGTGGCGCTATGCTTTACGGCCCTGGGTATGCTTTACAGATTAGCGCACAGCAATGACGCACAAAGTATAGCAACCACCCTGGGAGGGCCTATGGGCCATAACAACCAGTTGACCAATCAACACAGGGCAAGCCCTCCAAGCCTGGAGGCAAACCAATCCTGATTCTGTGCGTACCCCTAGACACTCCCCTTACGCTGTCCTATAAGATCTCTCGGGAGCCCCTAAGAGCCGTCTTTTGCAAGCCATCCGCCATGGCGGGTGGGTGAAAGACCCGAGCTAACATGGGGTTAGCTCGTTAAATTACAATAACGCTTCGTGCAGTTTGCAGCAAGCTCTCGAATCCATATGGTGATTGGGGTGACCGAAAACGTGGCCTGGGACCCTGGATACTTGAGTTTTCGGGGGTCTAACAAAATAATATTTTAACCTGATCATTATAGCTTTTATGTATAGAATTGTCTCTATTACTTAAAGAGCCTTAAAACATGATTATTAGTATACAAATTAAATGAATCATTTTATTAGATACTGAAAGACCATTGCAACAGCTTGTAACTTGATGACCTGAGCTGTGGTTGGAGCAGCCTGTTTTGTATATATTTTACCATTTATAATAAAAACTGTTCTTACATTAGAACCATCAGTAAAAATTGACATAGTATTTTATGAGATTGTTTCTTACTATTTTGGGGGGAAAATGTATTAGTATAAACTGTAACAGCCTATGAGCTGTAGTTGATTATCAATATTCCCTGAAAATGTAGCAAAAACAATTGCCCAATGAATCATTATTTAGAAACAACCACTCAACTTGTTTGACATAAGTAACATAATTTTTACCTTTAAGCCTTTATCATTTTAGAATTTAGTATATCCCAAACAATTTTTTGAAAATTTATTTAAAGGTTTTTTGAACAGCCTTTTCTAATCCATCCTGTTAAATTCTTGACTAGCTGACATTAAAAATTTAGGAGGATTTTTGTATCCTCTCCTCTGCCAAATTTCATAGAATTATCCACACAGATTCCCCTTTTGCCCCTAGGTCAACAGGACTGATTGGATGTTCTTTTTAATTATATTTAAGGCAATCTAGGTATTTTTAACTATTTCTGAAGTAGTATATATATATATATATATATGTGTGTGTGTGTGTGTGTGTGTGTGTGTGTGTGTGTGTGAGTGTGTGTGTGTGTGTGTATTTGTAAATCATATCCAAGGCAATTCAAGAGGTTTCTTTTGTCAGCATTCTTGCATTTACAATCACATATCATGCATTCAGGTGTGGCCACATCGTACACACAGAACAAGCACATATTTTTTTTTTCATCTCTTCTTTTGCCTAGGCTATGACCAGTCTGTTGAAATGAAAAATCCCTAATTGAAATCTTTTGTAACATAGCAGTTATAGCCAATTCTTGAATTATGAGCATCCAAAATTTGAACAGATCCAAATTTTTCTATGCTGTCTTTCTTTTTCCATAAGGTCTTAAAACAGTTTTTAATTGGTTGTATTAATAGTATTTTTTATACATTTGATTAGGCATCAGTGAGACAGAGAAGGGAGTAGCTTCTAAGTGTTTTGATTTTGGCCCTGGCCTGACCTGCTGTGGCTGTAAATTTTCTTATCTCCTGTGAGAGCAATTTGGCTAAATCCTTTAAGCCTCTTGGCCCTCCACATTGCCTCTCTGTATCCCCAGTTAAAAATGAGGGAGGTGTGTAGTTTAATCTGTGGGGTTAGTGTCTATTGATGATGTAGTTCGTACCCCAGATACATATATGGTTTAGCAGTTTGAATTTTATCAGGTGCTATTTGGAGACTTTTTGATTTAGGATGGAAGTTAAATCTCTCAAGCACAGAGAAAGTTGCTACTTCTGCTGAGCAGCAGCCAAAGAATGTAAACAGAAGGCCACTTTTTTCTAATAGGATTAACATCGAGAGCAACAATTTTTAGCATAAGGTGGGGCTGTTGGCCATGCTGGTGGTCTGTTTTGAAGACAAAACCTTCCATTGGTAGTGAGGCTTAGGGCCCTGGAAATTAACCTGGGGAACAGTAAGGGCAAAGTGAGGCTTATCCTTAGGTGTAGGGGAATGGTGAAAAAGCAGTCTTTAAGACCTTGGGGCCTGGGGCTGGCCCCATTGGAAGTTTCCCTGCTGTCGTGGGGGTAAGGTTTGGCCCAAAGCGTTAGTTTTAGATCTGCATTGTGCAGCCCAATGTTCAATGTTTGCCTTTATGGCAACTCGGGCATACAGTAGGGGGAGGCAGCCACCCGGAAGCTGCAATTGCAGGAGTTCAAGGAGCAGGGCATTCGCTAAAGAAGTGACCAGTTGTTTGCAATTAAAGCAAATTTTTGGTTGTTGATTAAGCCCCATGCCCTTAAAGGCCAAATGTTTAACAAACAGACAGGTTTTAGGAGACACTTTCTTTTGACCCTGCAATTTTCCATAAACTCAATTTTGTATAAGACAAAATCTCCTCCCGAGAGAGAAGCACTCGCTAGCTGGTGCTGGTCATTGGGGAGTAACCATTTGTCACTGTAACTCTCTGGGAGGGTAGGGGTGGATGGGGCAGTGGGTACATAGTTAGAAGGACAAGTTGAATGGGAAGCTGCTCTGGATGGGAGGCGGGAATTTTTCTTTACCAACTCTCTTTTATCTATTTACATCAATGGTTTCCTCTTGGGGGAACCTAGTGTTAGACCCCCGAAAACTCAAGTATCCAGGGTCCCAGGCCACGTTTTCGGTCACCCCAATCACCATATGGATTCGAGAGCTTGCTGCAAACTGCACGAAGCGTTATTGTAATTTAACGAGCTAACCCCATGTTAGCTCGGGTCTTTCACCCACCCGCCATGGCGGATGGCTTGCAAAAGACGGCTCTTAGGGGCTCCCGAGAGATCTTATAGGACAGCGTAAGGGGAGTGTCTAGGGGTACGCACAGAATCAGGATTGGTTTGCCTCCAGGCTTGGAGGGCTTGCCCTGTGTTGATTGGTCAACTGGTTGTTATGGCCCATAGGCCCTCCCAGGGTGGTTGCTATACTTTGTGCGTCATTGCTGTGCGCTAATCTGTAAAGCATACCCAGGGCCGTAAAGCATAGCGCCACCAGCTAACTTCTGATTGGTTCCTTGTCACGAGGCAGGCATCTGACTTTCTAGTGTCTAGGACAAGGTCATAGAAGCATGTGTTCGGCTGTTATGGCTGCCAAAAGGGAAGCTGGTCCCTTCACTAGGACAGAGATTCCCTATGTAATCTAAAAATTTATTAAATCTTTTTTCTTAACACTAGTTCCTTGAATCTTGAGGGATTCTTTGATCCTAAAAAGATACAAATCTTTCTTGCTCAAAAAAAAAAAAATATTTTGTTGTATTATTCACCTCTGCCTCAGGTGGTGTTCATGAACCCGAAGATCCCGAGCTCTGGGTAAGGCTGCTGGGTGTCTTCCCCTCAAGGTCCAAAATCGACTGTGTCTCTGGTGCCTTAGAGCATGGACAAGCTTGTCTCTCTAATGAACACTGAAGTTCTCCTCTCCTGGGAACAGTCGAGCCCCACGTTGGGCACCAGTTGTAGTTGTCCCGACCTTCGGGACAGTAACCTAGGGCAAGATATCCAGGGAGGGGAATGGGGACAAGAGAAGGGGAGAGAATGACCACAAGACAGGATTCTGATCAAGTGGCGAATTTTATTTTTCTCAGGCTAGCTTATATGGTCATTAGAGTTGGGTAAAGGGGAGGGGGAGAAAAGGCCAAGAGTCAGGTGTTAGTTCAAGCAGGATGTCAGAAAACTATAGAAGGAGGATATTAGCAGGGTAAAAAGTTCATGGGTGGTGGGGTGAGGGAGGTTACCTAGGTAAATGGTGGGGCGAGAGAGGGTTGCTTAGGTCAGTGGACCTGTGGTTGGAACAAAGGATTGACGTCTGGGTCATGTTGTTCCTTCTGGGTGCTCAAGCTTCTAGAAGCCATATATAATCAAAAGACAGTTCTATAACTGTATGGCTTGCCAAGTTTGGCCTAAAGGTTCATAGCAAGCTGTATGGCTCCCACCAAGTCTGCATTTCCTAAGTCTCTTTTTCCTTCATTTCATTCATATTGCTCTAATAAAGCATATGGTTAAGATGAGAGTCAGTGTGGGAGGGTTCTGCCCAGGACATAGATGCAGGGATGAGAAGCATTTGTAAGAACTGAGTAATCCACACTGGATCTCCTAATTTTAAAAATAATGAAATAGGATAACAGGTAAGTTGACTTCCCCAAGATCACATAAGTTGAGATAGAACTGAACCCAAGCAACCTGACTCCAGACTCTGTGGTATAATGTCTATGCTAAAGGCTGGGGAGATAGCCTGCCTCACAAGCATGAGGGCCTCATTTGGATCCCCAGTATCCACATTAAAAACTGTGACACTGGCCCTAGAGCTGGGGGCCAGTCATGTGGATCAGAGTCATGTGGACCCTTAGAGCTCATTAACCAGCCAGTCTATCGAAACAATGAGCTCCAGGTCAGTGAAAGACCCTGTTTGAAAGAATAAGAAGGAAAGCAATTGAGGAAGACACAGACATCAGTCTCTGTCCTCTGCATGCATGCCCACACACATGTATCTGCAAATACATGTACACACACGTGCATGAACACATACCTATATGATACACAAATATGCACATGCACACACTCACGTGACATGCACCTATACCACACAAGTAGAGGAGCAGAGCTAGGCTTCGTTACATAGGAAACAGCAATGTTTAACCAGAAAGCATACTGTGCCAATAAGTTCTACCCTTAAACACTCCATTCAGCTGGTGTCAGCATAAAAGCATAGGACTGGAAATTCACGTTCCAGTGGGTAGAGGTCAAATGTCCTCACCATGCACCCCTTACCTTGCAACTCCAGAGAGCACCTTTTCTCTTGATTTCTGTCCTTGGTTCTCTACAGAGTCTCTGCCACATCCATGGGATGCTGACTCAGCATACTTCAGTGGGCCGTACATTCAGGGTCCTCTGAGAGGATTGTTGGGGCAATTTGGAAGTGGCCTCGGGCCTTTAAAGGAGCTGGACCAGAGGTCCTGGCTCTTCTGCCAGCTGTGTAGCCTTGCAAATAATACTCAACTTCTCTGCACTTTGACTTAAAAATGGGGATACCATTCTCTACTTATACTTACTTTGTTTTTCCTTAATCAGACTCATAGCACAAAGGACTCTTAGTGATTCCTAAACTTGCATATTCTTAGGATCACCTTCGAATAGCTAAATAAGCAGAGTCCTGGTCCTCAAACCCATCACTGGGTTGCCCAGACCTGAGTGCAAAGAGTCTTTGTCACTAGCCATCAGCCAGTTGTTCCTGATGTAGATGGCTCACACATAAAGCATGGGCAGTGGAGTCAAGTACCACTTACTGCTGTCACTGTTGTCATTGTGATACTACGGGGGGAGCATGATGTATATATCTCATACAATGAGACAATTCATTTTTGTTTTTTATCTATAATTATCTGTATTCTGTTAAAAATACTTAAGTCTGCAGTCTAAGGTATTCCAAGAGCTGTTGGGAAATGCCAGATTTCAGTTTCTTCTCCTTGAATATATCAACCAGGCACAGACCTAGAATGGTCAAGGCCTGCCCCAAAGATGAAAGGCATCCCACCTCAGTCATTGCAGCCAAAATAAGGCTACTATAGTAACCAAAGCAAATATGATCATTTACGGGAGAGAACCTCTTTCCAACTTGTGGCCTGGATTATTAAAGAGTCGGCCCAACTGGCTCCATCATTCTGTCCTTCCAAATGACTTCACGTTCAAGGAAAGGTGGGTTTTCCAGAAGAGCAATGGTGGACCTCTGTCTTCCCCTCTTCCTACACCCCTCTCTTCCCCTCTTCCTACAGGACCTCTCTCTTCCCCTCTTCCTACACCTTCCCTGCACTGGGGCTCGGAACACTATTTGTTTCTTATCTCAGTCTTCATTGGTAATAATGCTGAAATATCTGCTGTTGTCTGTTATTGCAAAACTAGAGTTGAAAACACATTGCAGAATCTGTGGCTTGGATTGAAAGAGCAGGAAAGAGAAAAGGGCACCACAGGCAGCATGTGAGAGCTGAGAAGGGCCTTGGGGAGGACACCTGGCGTGAAATATGGGGTAGGGTTCGCTGGGAGGAAAGACATTGCCACTTAAGAGTATGGTGAGAAGTAGGCTCAGGAGACAAAGCCGCCTGTGGCCAACTGCTTATGGCCAGCACCAGGCTCATCCTGCCTGCCAGAGACAGACTCCACCGCAGTCAGGTTCATGCAGAAGTGTGGTCAGATGAGAATGATTAGTTGTTCTTTTCCAAAAGGGCAAACCAAGGCCAAAGCAAAATGTAGTGAGATGATATGGAATGGGATGGAGTGGGGTGGGGGGGGTGGGATGGGTGGGGTGGGATGCAAGGAGCAGGAGGATCTTAGGTTCAAATATCCCACACCTAGTGGG